GCAGTTAAAGCTCTCCTGGAGGTGTGAGTTGAAGATTTTTCTAAAGGGTTCTTCTGCCAGACTTTCCCAACAAACCCTCACTACACGTTTGGTCTAACAAGTCTGTCCAGCATCTTCCCCCACCATTGGACCCAACTCACTACCAGGTGGTAATCATATTCTGCATTCTGTGCAATCAGAATATTTTCTACCTGGATTATTGAGCATGCATCAATATATGACTAGCACAGAATTCCAACAACAGAACACAGCTGGAGTTGAGTTCAGAGAGGCCATTCCTCCCAATCACGCCCCTCTAGGTCACACTGTCATTATCCATGTGGGTATTGAAGTCCTCCAGCAGAATAAAGGAGTCCCCAGCTGGTGCACCTTCAAGCACCCCTGTCAAGGACTCCAAGAAGGCCGGATACTCTGAACTGCCATTTGGTGCGTAGGCACAAACAACAGTCAGAGCCCGTTCCCCCCACCTGAAGATGCAGGGACGTCACCCTCTCGTCTACCAGCGAAAACTCTAACACACAGGCACCAAGTCAGGGGGCTAAAAGTAGACCCACACCAGCTCTGCACCTCTCACCATGGGCAACTCCAGAGTGGAATATGGTCCAACCACTCTCAAGGAGATTGGTTCCAGAGCCCATGATGTGTGTTGATTTGAGCCCAACTATATTTAGTTGGTACCCCTTAACCTCATGCTAGTGTTGTGTTCAAGACCACCTAACCCGAGATCAAGTCAAAACCAATACCAGAGTGTACCGAGACTGAGACAAGACCAAGACTTTTAGGGTTCGAGACCATGTCGAGACCAAGTCCGATGGAAGGCGAGACCAAGTCAAGACCAAGACCTCAAATAAAATAAAACATTTTATTATAATTTTTTTAATGAAAGTTACATACATCAACTTTAAGTTTGCTTTTGAATGAATGTATCTGCTTTTATAAATTTTCAAAAATACATAACAAAGAAATCAGACATTTAGTGACCTAATTGCATGTGATTCAACAATAAAATTACACAACTGTTAAATTGGAAGCAGTTTCATCACATGCCAAGCCTTAAAAAAAACTGAAGGCAAAGCACTCTTCATAAGTCCAAACTCAAGACCAAGGATAACCATATAGTTGCACAGTGGTTTCAGTAAAGTAGTAGACATACACCTAAACAGTTACATAAATGGATATTTGTTACAAGTATATTGTTTGTAATTTAAATAGCCAAATTTTATAACTGATGATTTGTCAGACATCTTCCACACCCAGACAATCACTTCTCACTTTCTTAATGTTGCCAAATATAGAGTCGAGGTTTCCCAGCCCAAAAATCTTTTCAAAACCACCACATCACACAAAAATCTGCCCAATCAATATATTGTTTAAGGCTATTTACTGTTTGAACATGAACGCACATCAGTACAAGCCAAGGTAATTTAACGATATGTGGCAAAATGTAACAATCCAATAAAAATCTTCTCAGAGTTCCCAGCAAAATCAGAAGGAAAACCGCCCAATCTGGCAACACTGGGAGTGACACGTGTGAGTGAAAGCGGGTGGGCATGACAGCGGTAACAAAAAATGTATTTAGCATTGAGTCACGTTATCATTTGGATTTGAACTAGTACGTTTTGCATCCAATAAAAACAAGGATGTTAACAAATAAACTGGACAATATTCTGGCAGTTTAGTGATATTTCCACAGTTGTGGTCTTGACTGGTCTTGAAATAAAATCCCGAATCCTCAATGTCTGAGACTGAGACAAGACCAAGACCAAATGCAGTCGAGTCCGAGACAAGACCAAGACCATCAAAAAGTGGTCTTCAGAGCGGTCTCAAGATCAAGACCAGTCTCGAGTACTACAGCACTACCTCATGCACAAGCTCAGCCCCCCCAACCCCACCCCCCCAGAGGGGTTACATTCCATATTCCAAGATCCAACTTTGGTAAGCCAGGGTCGGGAGTGCCAAGGCCCCCGCCTTAGGCCACTGCCCATGGCATTACCCGACTTGTATGGCCCCTCCTGCAGGTGGTGGGCCCACAGGAAGGCAAACACATGTTGTTCCTTCGGGCTGAGTTCGACCAGGCCCCATGAGTCACCAGGCAACCACCGACGAACCCCTCCCAAGGCCTGGCTCTGGGGTTGGGCCGCGGTAACTCACATCCAGGCAAGGGACATTGAGTTCTTTGTTGTGTTATTTGTCCATATAAGTCTTTTGAATTGCTCTTTGTCTATCCTGTCACCTAGAACCAATCCGCCTTGGGAGACCCTACCAGACAGCATAGCTCCTAGGATCATTCAGGCACACAAACTCCTCCACCACAATAAGATGGCAATTCAGGGAGGAGTTGAATTTATCTGAAAACAGCTGAAATTAACTAAAAAAAAAAGGCTAAAAACTAGTTGCAAAGGTAGAACAAGCTTAAATTAGTATTAGAAAGCAGACAGAACACCCAATTAGGCTGAAAGAAGCAGAGAAAAAAATGAAAAAAGCTTAAATTAGCTCAAAACTGCTGAAAAGTAGCTTAAAAAGGCAGAAAGAAGCTTAAATTACCAGAAGGAAGTGGAGAGAGCACATTTTTGCTGAATTAGGCTGAAAAAAGTTGAAATGAGTGTAAATAATGTGGAATTAGCTGAAAATGCTAAAATTAGCATAGAAACAGCTAAATAGTAGCTGAAATAGGAGAAAAAGCTGAAATTTACAGAAAGAAGATGAAAGGAGCAAAACAAGCAGCTGAAATTAGCAGAAAGAAGTTAGAAGAATCAAAAACTGTTGTAGTTCACAGAAAGAATTTGAACTGAACACAAAACAGCTGAAAAAACAGCTGAAATTAACTGAAAGTAGCTGAAAAAAAGTTTAAATTTGCAGAAGGAAGCTGAAAAAAGCTGAACCAAAACAAAATGTGAAAGGAGCAGTAAAGAATCAGAATCAGAAGAATCAGAGTAAACTTTATTGGCATTGCACCGAGATACAACACGACTATGTATGTACAGTCGTCTGAAGATGGGCGTAGTGCACGAAGCTGCGGCTAAAATAATTAGTGCGGCCTTCTTATTCTTATTCAGAATAATATTTTGCTTAGATAAGAAAAGGAAAGAAAACATGAGGAGAGATGGTATAAAAAAAGATCTCCCACACCGTGTCCTAGACAGGGCACAATTTGAGGCATCAAAAAAACCTACCACAGCAAAGCAACATAAACGGACGTTATACATGTGCATATAGGCGGTGAAAGCATTGAACTTTTAAGGAAAAGTCGTAGCATAGTCCAGAGCCCCCCCTCAGCCATTGTCCATATAAGAGGTGACATTCATCTTCAGCTCAGTTGAGGTTCTGTTACATGTCCACGGCCTTGGAGAAGGGAGGGGTGAGGAGACAGTCAAAGCATATTTGTTGTTTTCAAAACATTCCAGGAGGAGTTGAGATAAGTCCGGCATCAAGGCCACAATTTGGGTCAGGCAGAACTCGTAATTGTTGTTTCTGCCTTTAAAGTCTCGCTGGTACATATTCTCTGATGGAAACTCAAAAACAGCTGAATTGATCCTTTACTCCAAAAGTCGAGCTCACAGCTTCTCCAGATTATTCCACCATTCATGAGTGCTGCCAGGAAGAACACAGTCCTGATTCAATTCAATTCAATTCAAAAATACTTTATTAATCCCAGAGGGAAATTAAATGTTGTAGCTCATTTTCCTTGTTTCATAAAAGAGTTGTTCTAGATGTTGATGGTTGTGGGCGGGAAGGATCTCTTGTGATGGTCCCTCTTATAGCACTTGGTTGGCCTCCTGGGATCAGGATCACCTGAATGTTGGGCAGAAATCCTCCCAGGGCAATGACCACTCCTCCCAGCAGCTTGTTGGGCTCCTCATCGCTGCGGGCAGCCAACTGTAGGTGCTGATGGACGATCCTGTCCTTCCGCTGTCATGAGCCGTGTTTTCTGCTAGTTCCAGGATCTCAGGGGTCAGGCACTCGAGCACAGCTGGCAGGTAGATGAAAATGCGTCCACAGAACATCCTTTTCAACTCATTTGAAATTTAGGGCTGTAGTTGAGATATTACTTGAGCTTTTGAGATGTTAATCAGCTGCTGTTGGTCGTAGAAACTGCCTTGTTGCCATGGTTACGCATCATAACAAATGTCCAAAACTAAAAAAGTTTCAGTAAAAATCCTTCCAGCTGCACAGCATCCGATACCAGAGGAAACAATCATCCAAAAAATGTGATTTACATCCAGAAAAAGAGGATTTAAAGTTTCCAAAAGCAAAATCTCAGAATGAAAGTAACAGAGATGCTCCAACATGCAGCCACCTTGAGCGGCGCAATAACAGCTGCTAACAATTCCCTGTCACAGCTCCACATTCAGTCCGAGCACTGTCAAGCTTCAACACCTCCACACGAATTTGTAGACAACCAGATTCCACCAACCCAAACAGTAGAATCTAGTTGTCATCATGAATCCAATTTGTTCCTTAAAGAGGTCAGAGGGGTCCTCCTTACCCTGACTCCTGTTGGGAGAAGTTGATTGATTTTGTTGAGAGACCAGCTGATCCTTCCAATTGAGAGGTATGCAGGAAAAAAAAAAGAGAGGCTTTTTTAAGGGTTCACAGGACAAAAGAGCGCAGCAGGGAAGCGGGTGTGTGTGTGTGTGGGGGGGGACCACGTCTGGTTTCACCGTAGAGTAGCAAGAAAAAAAAAAAAGGTTGTAAACAGATCTCAAGATCTGAAAGATGTAAAATTAACTAAATTTATTTTCTATGAGAAAAAAAAATGGCAGAAAAGGCTAAATATTTCAAAAAGCTAAAGTTAAACCAATACCAAAAGTCAAAGCAGGATTGTCCTGAAAGAGCTGAACATTTTGATTTATGATTTGTTGAAAGAGCTTGAAAACTATGGGACGAGAATCACGCCGAAAAATGTACAGAAAAAAATTGGATCACAACAGAGTCATAAACAATTAGTTCATTTGATGAAACATTGGTGTTTGTTTCATAAAACTTTGTTCTATGTTCAGGTTGCAACCCTAAACTGAAGAACCAGGACAATTTGCTGCCACGCCAGATCGCCAAAGACTTCGGTCACAAAGCAGCAGCCAAAGAACTGAGGAAAGCAGAGAGGCTTCAGGGGAAAGGCAACAAATCCGACAGTATCAGCCTTATGTCCGACCTCTGGGCCCTGACCCTCCACGACTGGTCCAATGAGTTTCAGGCCGAGTTACGGCAAGCCTTTGGGGACCAAACAGAAACAGTTTCCTCAGAGATGTTTGTTATGGTGTTAAAGGAGCTAAATGCTCCTATTAAATCAAGTCATCTCCTTAAAGTCATCTCAGCCCACGACAAGAAAGGAGAGGGAAGCGTCAACATCACTGACTTCATCAAAGGTGTCAAGTACATCAAGAAAGCCTACCTCATCTCCTCATACTTGCCTAAAAAGATGGGGGGAAAGGGAAAAAAAGGACAGCAGAAGAAGAAGTGTAAATTTGTCCTCCCCATGCCCATTTGTACCCTTCTGCCAGAGCTCAAGCCTCGGCGTCCAGATGGAGGGCCCCCTTACTTCATGATCGAGACGTACTACAACTCCTCAGACATCCGCCGCTTCGACCCCAACCACCCACCCAAACATCCCATAATCAACGATTCAGCATGGTACATGAAGAAACTCAACAAAGAATACATCAACATCAACTACTGTGTGAAAGGTGGAAATCTAGAGACCCTGGACCTGGCATTCAAGCAGGGGGTACCTGTGGATATTCAGGATGAATATTACAAGACGCCGCTGATGGTGGCCTGCTCCACTGGAAACGCTGAGCTGGTTCAGTACCTCCTGAGCCAGGGGTAAGAAGGAGAATGTCTGTTAGAGATTTTGTTCTTCAGCACAGAGTGAAAAGGGGGAACTAGAAATACCATCATCAAGTCCATCTGTGAAGGTAGTGAGCGCGATAAGTTGAAGAAAAAATTGTGAGGTACCGGCTTCCATTTTGGTGTGTGGCTGCATCTAGGCGTAAAAAAGGTTTATTTAAAAAATTGGGTTGCCCCATCAAAATCCAGGATGGCTGCTGCTACACAAACACACACACACACACACACACATATCTATATATATATATATATATATATATATATATACATATATATATATATATATATATATATATATATATA